TTCAGCCACTAATTGTTTTTTTTTTTTTAACGTAGTTATTAAAGTTGAGTAATTTTGGAATAGTATCTCTGTTAGAATTTTTTTTACCAATGACTTTATCAATTATACGCCAAGTACTTTGAGGATCATTCGAGTGCTTTTCTAATTAATCTGAATAATAATTTTATTTTGATTTTTTTACAATTGACTCAAAGAGTTGTTTGTAGTTTTTATAATTATTTTTATAACGATAATGGTTTTTGTTTAAAGAAATTTGTTATATAGTCATTGTTGATTTTTTAGAAGATTTAAGAATACCCTTAGTAATCCAAGGGTTTAATAGCGTTTTTGTTTCAGGAACAGCTTCTTCCCTTCTTAAAAAGATTTATTCTGATCAAGAGCTAAGTCTAGGAGCTCAAACCATTTTCAGAACAGGTAAAACATTCTTAAAATAATAGTATATTTTATAATAAACTATTATTCTCAAAATAAACAGTTGTTTTTTATTGAGGTAAAAATATTCATATAACACTTAGTACTCCAGAAAGTGATCAGAGAAAGATTCCATACAATGAAGTAGAAACTTTGGTGAACTTGTTTTAGCTTATTGTGAAAGGGTAAATGAGAATCATTTTAACATGACAAGGATAGTGGAAAAATTAAGATTGCATGAATGCAAGTACTCATTGGCTTCTGATATGAAGTTAATCAACATATTGCTGGGATTTTCGGTATGTTATTTTTAAATAATTTTAGGATTATAAACATGAAGTAAACACAATATTAGAAAAAGTTTTTTTTTACCCAAAAATATATTTATAAATTGAATTGTTATATAAAATTGTAGGCTCATGTAGAAAAGTATGCCTGTTCATGGTGTGGAGGTTCTTCTTATATTCTGGAGAGTTAAGAACATTTTAATCTTTAAATGATTACTATGAACTTCGTTTGCAGGATCTCCGGTGAAAAAAATGAAGGAATATAAGGTATAAATAAATAAGTATATTGTAAATATTTTTAAAATATATTAATCATCACAAATTTATCTTTTTCAAAGGATAGGAAATTATTGTTTCCATATATTTAGAATGTCATTAATCCTTGTCTGCTCAAGATTGAAGACAAATCCCTACATATAATAAGTGAAGTTCTATTACCAAAACTTCACCTTCTGATGGGATTTGTTAACCATGTGGCGGAATTTATAATGCAGCTTTGATCTGAATTTATAGATTGGGCCTAGAGCATTGGATGCCTTCGAAAAGGTTATCATGGAAGAAGATTCGAAGGAAACACGTGTAGAGAGATAAAAGTTGCAACAAACTATTAATTAGAGTTAATAATGTTAAACTGTATCCTCTCTTGCAAACTGTGTTCTCTCTTGCAAACTGTATCCTCTCTTGCAAACAATGAGAAAGTTTAATAAGGTTGTTCACAATGTCTTTGGCTATAAATTATTCAACTTTAATAAACACCTAAACTATTCAACTTTAATTGAAAGTTTTGCACAAAGTTATAAAGATGCGCAAGACTATTGCAGAGAGGTAACTGCTGTATTCTGTAACCTTTGTATTTGAAACCAAGTTATTGATAAACATAATTATTGTAAATTTTTTTAGTTTTTAGATAAACACCTTACAGTTACCTGGAAAACACATGCTGTAACCGCACATCTGGAAACATTTGTTGATTTGAGTGGCCTTTCTCTTGGGCAGTTTACCAAGCAGACATCTGAATCTTGCCATTCCAAGATGAAAAGTGTAATAAACAGGTTTGGAGTTTCGCAGTACAGCAACGAACATAAGGAAAGAAGCAAAAAAAATGCTGAATTGTTCAGTTCAAATAGTTTATAAGTTATTGAACATACATCAGTTGTACATCAAAACAGAAACATTATTGAAATCTTAAGTTAAAAACATTTGCACATTCATTCAAAAAGACAATAAAAATATTTTAGCAAAAGCGATTTTAAAATATTTTATTTAGTATTTATTATATTATTACTATTTATATATTAGGTTGTTAGGCAACTATGCATACAATACTACTATTCTACTAAATTACTTATTATTAATATGTTCTTTACTAAGCATACTATGTTCACACTATCATACTATGTTCACACTATCATACTATTAATTTCAATCGTATCTAAACTTTTATCGCCAACGTAAAGCAGTCTAATGATGTTGATGTATAAATACAAAATTGAAAAATCATAAAAAATTGGAATATAAAGTTATTTTAAGTTAACTTTACTATTCTATCAGTATATTTAGTTTTTTTAAATACGAAAAAAATGAGTTTTCAGCAGATTTTCAATGTCAATTTTCTAAAAATGTGATAAAATGCATATAAACTAATGAATAGACTTACGTTTAATTGTTTTTAATATGTCTGAGCGAAAAAAACATTGTTAATTAAAATAATATATTTTAAAATGAAAGTCAGTAAAGTTAATTTAAAACAATAGTAGCGTTAGAAATTTGATAAATAAAAAATGCAAAATAATGTTTTGAAACGCATGTCAAGTTAACGTGTAAATAACCGCATAAAATAACGCTTAAATTAAGGTGGTAGTACCCCAAAAAACAGGCTAAACATTTTTTTTTTCAAATTTTTATTTTAACAATTGTTATTCATTTATAATGTTTACTCATATAATAATTTAAAAACTTTTTAAAAAATAATCATAAGGCCTAAATCACGGCTGTTTCAAAGTGAGCTTTACTGCTTCTTGTTTTGTTTTTTACATAATCACTTAATAGGTATTACTAAAACTTTTTAAACTTTTAAAATATTAGAGATAATTTTGTTCTGTAAAAAGAATATAAAAATAAAATGTTTAAACATATGACATTAAATGAATGGTTAAAAACGTTCTTCGATTTTAGATAAAACGCGCCAAATGATGAGTTGGGCAAAAATTTAATCACTTTTTATAAAAAAAAAAATTGAAAAAGTATTTTTTAGATAATTATTATTAAATATACATATTGTAAGTACACTTTAACTTTATTTAAAGAAATTTATTTAAACTTAATTTCTAACTGAAACAGGCAATATTTATGTCAGTAAAGCAAATCGCTATATTTTTACTCGTAAAATATTAAAGGTCACGTGATTGTTTTAAAATGTAAATAAAAATTTACGCAAAAAAATAGAAAAAATGTTGTAAACCAGCCAGGTTTGAAGACATATTTGGTAACATAGCAAGAAATACAAACAACAGCTGTTGAATTTTCGTGTTTATAAAGGATTGAAAATTTGTTAATTTTATATTGAGTGAAACAGCCGTGAAGTTATCCTTATTAGATTTGGTACTGGAAAATTGATCACCTTAGCAACGGTTCTTTGAGATACATTTCTTGTTATATCTTAAAAAGTACAAGTTCAATTTATATACTTTTTTTTTTTTCTCATGACTAAATTGTTCCTTTAGAACTCTTGTTGGTTTTTAATGTAATATCCATAAATTGAAACCTCGTATTCGTTTCTGTGAGATATAGTTGATAACCCATTTATAAATTTTTCTTTGAGTGATGGATGTTTTTGATTACTTGTCTGATGAGTTCAAAAAAAAAATATGCTAAAACAAGAGCAAAGAAAAGAAAGTTTAATAAATTAGAAAAAGGTTCTCTAAATAATTTAAATGCTTTACAACAAACTGTTTTGTCTCCACATTCACCAAGAAATGTAAGTGGATCGGCATCTGGAAAAAAAATTAACTTGTCTCTTTTAGATGTAGAAAACTTTAATTATATAGAAAAAGAGTGTAATATAATTATGAACTCAAATTTTCAAGTTTATTGAAAACAATTGGAAGATACCCAGAATGTTATTCGTCAATCAATATTTTTCATGACATTAATAAAAAAGAGAATCTTTTTCACACTTTCCAATTTCTTGTCAAGATAGTACATGGACGATGAACTTTTTAACTTCAAAATCGAAATTTTAAATAGAAAATAAAAATGAAGTAATCAGAGGTAAAAAAAAAATGAAAGAAATTAACCTACGTACTGTGTACTGTTAACCTACGTACTCTGTAAGCTTTTCGAGAAATGGGGCAAGGATACAAAGCAATAAATACTTTTTGTCGTTTAATGAATATGCCTCCTGGTATGACTAAACGTAGTTACTATAATATTAATAACTTAAGAGAGTACAAAAAAAGTCTCAGAGGACATACTTAGGGAAAAACTTGGTGAAAATTATGATGAATTATGGATTGTCAATGTTGCTGTTAGTTTAGATGGTTCATGGCAACGTAGAGGATGCTCCTCAATGAATGGCATAGTCACAGCAATATCTCATGGAAAGTGTATTGATGCTGCTGTCCAGACAAAAAGTTGTTACCCCTGCAAGATATGGTCAAGAAGAAAAGGTACTACATTATGATAAATTTTCACCGTGTAATGCCGAAATTGATTTTTTGGTATTTTGGCACACTGTGCGTCGTAAAGTTGCATCTTTTTCTCTTTTCTAAAAATACTATTATAGCCGCTGGTCAAAGGAACTTTCATCTTTAGTTCCATCAACTAAAACTTAATCTCGCTTGACTCGTCATTTATCAAAGTCTCATTCTTATACTGTATCTGTCCCTACATGCTACAAAAAAATTTATTCGTCTAGCTTTTTTCTCCGCACTTTAACCCTGGAACTTTCTTCCATCTTCATGTTTTCCTGACTCATACAACCTTTAACTCTTCAAGTCTTCTGTCACCCATTTTCTTGATTTATTCTTTTTTTCTACTAACTCCCAATTTATTAGTGGTTGCTAAAAATAAATTAATAAATTGGGATAATAATAACTAATAAATTGTGATTGAATCAGAATTGAAATATATATATATATATATATATATATATATATATATATATATATATATATATATATATATATATATATATATATATATATATATATATATATATATATATATATATATATATATTGAATTTATTCTCGCAGTACACTTACAGGAAAACTCGCCAATCAATAAACAAAAAACAAAAAATTTTGCGACAAAATTTAAAGTTATGTTTACAAAAATACTCTTAATCCAAGTCACAAAAACGTAAAATAATAATTGTTCGTTTGTGAGTCTTTAATTTATTAATGTACTCAAATGGTTTTTCGAAATAAACCCAATACAGAATCGTTAAACACAAGTCAAACACGTTAAGAAGTGTCTTATATCGATTGTTTAAGAACCAATTCTTAAAGATGGTGATATTAAAACGACACCATCTCCTCGAACAAATAGCATTGACATATTCCTTTTTGATTGCTAAATATATGTACAATTATTAGTACAAATTTTTTAAATTTTATTTAATCATTTTTATAAATATAATAAAATATATAATAATATGTATAAAATCATTTTTATAACTATAAGACATATTTCTATAACATATATTCAATTAAAATTATAAGTTAAAAACATCCGTGTAAATTATGGTATATAATAGCTGTCATATATATCGAATGACAGTATATATATATATATATATATATATATATATATATATATATATATATATATATATATATATATATATATATATATATATATATATATATATATATATATACACACGCACATAAAAACAATTAAAAATATAAATAATAAACAAATAAAAAGGAGTTACTTTAAAAATTTCTTCCATCGTTTCTTCATCTACATCAACAGTTGTAATAATTTCCTCAACATCTCCAAGGACCATGTTGAGGTGCTGGTCATAAGCATGAAGTTTTCCACGTAATTCGCGATCATTACGCATTTTAACATAAACCTTTTCATCTAAGCTAAACTTCATCAAGTCTAAAGGTTCTTCAACAGTGTGTGTTGCGTCTTCATCCGCCATTATATAATTTTACCAACTAGACATATAAAAAATATTATCAGTATATATGTGATGTTTGTTATAAGAGAATCCTGCAATAATTTATAATATATTTATAAATGCCCTCAAAAACAATTAAAAAACTCTTTCCTAAGAACTCTCTAACTTGAAAAACCTTAAAAACATTGAAAAAAAACTATGATTTTATTTTTTTAAAAGGTTTAAATTAGCCAAACAGAAATTCAAGTTGGTCAATTAAAACTAATAGGATGGGCTTTGAAATATAAATAATAAAAAAAAAGCTCTTCGTAAATCAATGATCTAACAAAAGTTAAGCGAATAAATCAAAAACAATGGAAACAAAGAAGCAGAAATTTACTGTTTCACGCAGGAAACAAAAAAATATTAAAACTAAATCACATTTTGATGTTTATTAAAATAGAAATAAAAACATAAATAAACAAAAAAACTTCTAAAGTTAAACTGAACAAAATGTTTAAAATAATAAAAAGAACTTTTTTGAAAAAATTAAAATATAAAATAATTTCTACAAAAGCATAAAGACTATGTAAACAAATCTTCTTTTTATAAGTTTTCCCATGATTGTGAAGACTTGTTGTCTTGCCATTTTGAATAATGGCCTCGTCCTCTAGGAGGTCTATTAAGTGATCTATTATTAAACCTTTGTGGTCTGTTAGTAACAAAAGGTGGATTAGAATTGAAATTTTCGTGAAAATCTTCAAAGTCTTCATTAAAATTTGGATTGTCAAAATGTCTCTTTCTAAAGTTTGGTTTATGGTGAAGGTTTTCGTGTTGAACTGAATGATTCCAATCAAAAGATTTTCTTTGAAAATCATTATCATGAGGAAATAAATGTGATTCATTATTTCTATGATTACGAAAATCTGAATCAGGGGGATAGTCTTCATTTCTGTAAGGCAATGAATTATTCTGAAACTCTTGTTGAAAATGATACTTTTCGCCATGCATATAATCAGTAGGTTCATCAAAGTGATCTCTTCCTTCTCTTCTGTGATTTCCCTCATGATTTGGAACTCTTTCAAAGAACCCGGGTGTGTGTCGTGGCAACATTGGTCGAGGTCCTGGTGGTAAAGGCATTGGACCAGGAGGATTGAATGGTGGTCTTGAAAAATTCCTATTGTTGCTATATCGACTTTCATGCATATAATCGTTTACTGGTGGTTGATTTGACATACGTGGAAAGTCTTGTCTATAATGATGTTGCTTGTTAACTGATTGGTTATAAATAACATCTTGATGCGTATTTTGCTTGTTGTTCGATTGATAAATATCTTGATGAGAATGTTGCAAAGAAACATGAGGTTTGTTATGATGATTTGTTGGTGGATCATTAAAATTTAGTTGAGTGTCATTTTTACCAGAAAAATGCTGATCAGTAAAACGTACATTAGATGATTGAAAATTTTGGAATGAAAACTTGTTATTTGGGTTAAATTCAGTTTTTTGCATAACTTGTTCATGTCTTAGATAGTTAGATCTTTCCAAATCACGCAATCCAGAAACATTTGACAAATGAGAGAATGTATCTTCTTTTTCTCTCCCAAAATTATAATCTTGTGTTTTGTTGCAGCGTTCAAAATCTTCATTTTGTGTAATTTTATTTGAATCTGAAAAAGAAGATCGAAACCCAGTTCTTGGATCTACAGGATGTCGATATTCAGATAAAGTTGGTCTTTGAGGTGGTAATGGGGGAAGTGGCACTCCTGGAGGCAGTTTATTAATAATATTAGGTGGAAGTGGTACTTGAGGAATAGACCCTGGTATTGGAAGAGGTATAGTACTCTGAGAATTTCCAGTAGAATCACTTCGAAATTTAAAAGATGACGGAAGATTTATGTCAGGTAATTCTGGCATTTTAATTTCTTCTTTATGCTTTAAAAAGTCAAATGGCATCTAAAATAAAAATATAAAAAAATAATCATTTAACATGGCAAACGGATACAGAAAACAAAAAACAATAACAAAATTTACAAACATGTCATCATAACATGATTTGCGCATCTTAGTACAACTTTTAAGTTTGAATAATGCCAATAAATTTTTTAATTCAACTACAATTATACTTTTTGATATTTTATTTGAACCATGTAAAAGTGGCCAAAGTTGCGTTTCACTAAGTCAAGAAACCTGTGAAAGTAGCTACAACTGTTTCACTAAGTCAAGAAACTTAAAAAAGTTTATAGCAAGAGTTGTTTCAACTAAAATAAGTTAAATTATATTTACTAAATCAATAAATAAAATTTGCTATATACAAACATTTTAGTTTAAAATAGCTTTAAATACAAAAAAAAAAAATTTTTGTTAATAACAATATTATTTTAGCAATTCTTTTATAGTTGAGCACTCAACTATTTACTCAAATATTCACAAGTCTTTTTTAATAGTTTTAACAGTGACTGGCATTTTAGAAGTTCTCATTAAGAGATTCAGCAAAAAATAGATAATTTGCCATTAATTTATCAATTTGTTTCTAACAAATTGATTCATTAAAATTTGTTATTTTTTAATTTCATTACCCTAATTAACCTTTTTATGTAAACCTATTATTATGTACCTATTATGAACATATTATGTACCTATTGTGAACATATTATGCACCTTTGTGAACATACTATGTACCTATTGTGAACATATTATGTATCTAATGCAAACCTATTTAGAGTATAAAAACATAAAACATAGAAAATTATTAACTCTTCTATGTACATGTGCAATATTTTAGTCAGATTAGTTTAGACAATCATCTAAATATTACAGTACTAATGTAAACCTATTATCTAGTTAATGCTATTATTTAAGTAATGCAATAATAATTTTTATCTGTTTAAAGTATATTTAAGGTTACAATATAGTAAAACAACAGTTTTAAAGTAGCAAAAAAAAAATAAAAAATAAAAAATAAAACACATTTTGAAATGAAAAGCAGTAAAACACTAGTTTCAAAGTAGAAAAATAATGAAACATCAGTTTTAAAGTAGCAAAGTAATAAAACACCAATTTCAAAGTAGCAAAGTAGTAAAACATCACAGTTTTAAAATATTATAAAATTTCAAATCAACAATACAGCAAACAATAATTATATAACTGGGTTTAAAAAACTTTTTTTAATTTTTTTTTTTTTTAATTATTATTATTGATAATATTTAAATTTTATTAAAACTGCTGAGTAATCATCTCTACTTCTTTCACAAATGGTAACAATAAAAGAAATAAATAAATGATAACAATAAAAGAGTAATTTAAGAACTAAGAACAAATTATTTATTATAAGATTTCAACTTTACTATAAATAATCTTCTTTTAAATAAATTTATATAATTTTTGAACAGCAAATGTTTTTTACTAAAGCAAAAAAACTAGAAGTAATAGCAATTCTCTTAAAAAAAAAAAAAAAAAAAAAATTCATATTAGAAAACATACTATTGAAAATAACAAACAGTTTTAAATATGTATGAAGGTATGTAAGGACAAAGATGTGCGATGACAAAAAAAAACCTTAGGAAATTCAGTAGGTATCTTCATGTCTTCAATAAGATTCAAGGCATAATCTTCATCTGCTAGGTTAAAGGTACTATTGTTAAGAAATGATGGATCAACTGTTGATGTTATACCAAGTAAAGGAATTTCCACATTACCTATGAAAATTAAAAAAAAAAGTTTTTAACAGTAATCCTTTAAACACTCATCTATATGATGAAACTATAATGATGATGATGAAAATAAAAATTTTAAATTGAGTTTCGAAGATTATTCAATTTTAACTTAAAAAAATTTTCCAATTATTTTGTAATTAATAACATATCAAATTTACTTTCATCTTTTAATTGGATCGATTCTTCTAAAATTTTTTCACTACTAGAATCTACAGGAATGTCATTTTTAGTAATATCATTTTTGAACATGCCAGATGCATTTTTAGATCCAGTCTTATCTTGGTCAATTAATTCTTGATCACTTATATTTATAGTTCCTTTTTCCTTAGAATCACGAAGCAAACACATTATATTTTCGTGAAAATTTTTTGCTAAGCTGTCTGGATCAGGAATGATGACATGATCTTTAGATTCTATAGAAACTTGTGGATCCTCCTTAAGCAAATTTTCATTTTGTACTTCTTCGCTAAGTTTCTGAAAAATAAAAAAAAATAACTCAAACTTCTTGAAAACAATGACAAAACAAAAAACATTTTAAAGCATTAGTTTAAACCTTTACTCTGTCAGTCGGCTTTACTCTTTCACTCGGCTTTACTCTGTCAGTCACTTCTAGTGATTTCTCATTGAATTCAATTGATTTGGCTCTTTCAGTTGTTTCAATTGGTTTTGTTCTCTCAGTAGCTTCAATTGATTCTGCTAGTTTATTTCCTTCAATTGATTTTAACAATGCTAAAGAATTTAAGGCAAGTGAATCAGCTCCAATAGCAGCTTGAATAGTTCTATTTTGAAAAATAATATCGACAAGTTTCTTTTGTGTTTCAAGCTGTTCCTCAAGTTCTTTTTCCTTAAAAAAAAATTAATTTCGATAGAATTAATGCTGAGAAAGATATACAAGAAGATATACATAAGAGATTTACAAAAAGGTATACTTAACAGATATAATTTAAATTTTTAAATTAAAGTTAAAATTAAATTTATATAAAATAATGAGAAATAAATAAAAAATACATTTGGTGGAAACAGACTTTTATTGAATTTTTGCGAAAATTGGGAAAAAAAACAAGGATTATCAGTTGAAAAAAGATTTCATAATAATTTTTCAAACTTAGGAGAATCATTTAAATCTCAATTTATTCTTCAAAAAATGATTACATTACTATAGTATTAAATAATAAACTTTTCAAATCACCAAAATTATCTATTTTATAGATGTTAATTAGTGCTTTGAAAACAGACTTTAATCTAAAACTCTGTAAAACATTTCTTTATAAGGCTTTTGTGCTTTTGTACTTACTCTTATTACAATTCACCTAAACTATATAAAAGATATGATAAATGCTACATTTTTAGATGGTTTGACCATAAACAATTGTGTTATTTTACAAGAAATAGTTTTTTCATTTAAGTTTAACACCTATTGTTCTACACTTAAGCAGTTTTCGAGAAGCAATTTTATAATGTCATACTATTCAAGTATGATATTATAAAATAGTTACATAAACTTTTATAATCTAATAACCTGAAGTTTATTATTTTTTCAGATCAGCAGTATTTTTTTTTTGTCACACCACCACTTTATAAAATGGGAAGAAAAGTTTAAAAAGCAAAGTTTAAAAATTTCTACTACTCTTATCCCAATTAAATTAGGGGTAATCAAAGTTTTTTATCTCCAAAGTAAGTTTGCTTCACCACAACTAAGAAGCTTTGCCTGACCTAAACTGTTATCTTTATGCATATCTGCTGATTGCTATATTTGTCCTGCTAATCATGACAGCACAAATTGTTTACATATTGTTAGCATTATCATTCCTTCCTTCCATTCCAATTAAACATAACCCATTGTTAGGCATTCAAATCAATCCAGCTTCAGTTGCTAAAGTCATATCTTAATTAAACTATTCTAGGGGTTGTGGTTCAGACAACATTTTTGACAAACTATTCTAGGGGTTGTGGTTCAGACTACATTTTTGACAAACTATTCTAGGGGTTGTGGTTCAGACAACATTTTTGACAAAGGAAAATAAAGCACTAAAATAAAAAAAAAATTAAACTTGAAGTGAAACTTTTTGTTACATTTCTAATCGTGCTTGAAATAAATGTTATTAAAACTTTTTATTCAAATTATGCAAAAACGCTTTTAAATTAATTAACAAATTACTACTAATAGCTTTTGTTTATTAAATGAACAAACTTTATCAAATTTATTAAAAAAGTGTGTTTTATAGAATAATTTTAAATTGTATAAACATTTATTTTTTCAAAAAAAGTTGCAACAAAAAAAAAATTTGTTTAAAAAAATAACAGTTTTTCTAAAATAATAATTTTTAATAACTTCATGCACTAATTAGTAAGTCAAGTTAAAAAAAGGTTTCAAACTTTTTTATTCATAAAAAAAAGAAAAAAAAAACATGTTGTGTTCATATTAAAGAGAATGATAAAAAAAATGTTTGGGCTAAATCTTTTTGATTTAAAAAAAGAATAAATAATACCAAGAAAAACAAACTTTTTAATTTTAGTCAAAGCTTTTCCGTTTTATAGTAGGCCTAAAAGTCAGCATAATATACACCACAATCTACAGACTTGATAATTTATTCAAGCGTGTTTTATTACTAAGAGTTTTAGTACATTGATTTTTGTTTTGTTTGCATAATAGATTGTTTATGTAAACAAACAAAAGTCAATGACGCCATGTACTAAAACTCTTAAGAATAAAACACGCTAGAAGAAGTTATCAAGTCTGTAGAATTCGGCATATATTACGCTGACTTTTTATGCTTACAATAGAAAAGAGAAGGCAAGCTTTGACTTAAGTAAAAGTTTATCTTGGTATTTATTTATTCTTTTGTTTTAATTAAAAAAATATAGTCCAAACATTTTTTTATCATTCTCTTCAATATGAACACAACATGTCTCAAAGGTTTGGGATCCCCTTAAGAATTGAGATTTAATTAAGCATTACAAGCAATTTGTAACTTTTTTAATAAGCCATTCACGTAACGAATTTAAAAATTATTATAAAAGATTTAAACTCATTCATTCCTATTGTTATTAAAATATATATATATTTTTCAAAAAAAAAAAAGTCTATTAAAAGATTTAAAAAAATCATAAGTTTAATCATAAAAATTAATCAAATGAACATTATGAAATACTTCAAAATTTTTCCATTAATAAAATACATGCTAATATAATTAAATAAAGTTACTTTATATTATTGTATAACTCATATAAAATGTTCCTAAACGGGTTCTAAGTAAGTAGTCACAAAAAGTTTTAAACTTATTCATAAATTAAAGTAACTTAAAAAGTAAAGATTAAAGTAACTTTTAAATGATTATTTTTTAAAATTCTTTTAAAAAATAATCGTTTAAAAGATTTTTAGGAAGACATGGAAGTTTCAAACATTCAAACTTATCATAAAAAATGCCTACGAAAAAATAAAATTGTATATAACATTTTTAATTAATTTATACAAAATCCATTTATTTAAACAATCATAATTAATTTTATGTTTTTATTAGCCTTTTATTGGCTTTTATTGTTTTTTTAGCCTTCACATAAAATATAAACTTTAGAAAAGATCAATGATTAATAGTTATTCATAACGTAACACTTTTTTTTTATTGCATTTAATTGTTAAAATATTAAAATAGCTATGGTCAAGTTGTAAAGAAAAAAAAAACTATTAGTGTGGTCAGTTAAAAAGTGTGATCACAGGCCATTCCTGTCCAAGTCTGTATGGTGTATCAGGGAAAGTTTTTGAGTTCAAATCATTTCTTTTTAAACGCTTTATTAAAGTCATCCTAGAAGGTTAACACTCTTCTTCATTTTCAGTAACTTCTAAGGTAACACAAGGTTCTATCAAAAAAACTTTATTCTCCTGTCTTGACAAAAAAGTCTTCTTTCTTTGATTGCTTAGAACAGACAGCTGATCTTGAATCTGATCTCCCTTCTGTAACAGATTGAGGCTTGCAGTGATTTGTAAATTTTAATTCTAACAAAACTCAATTATTTACTGCAAACAACTATTGCAAAACTGTCGACAATCCTATATTAATGAGTAGCAACCCTCTCACTGAGATTTCTTCTTTACATCTTGGATTATTGTTTACTACTGACATCTAATGGAAATCATATATACAATTGATTGCAAAATTAGCACCCACTAAGGTTGCTTCTTTTTATCGTGCTCGCCATTTTCTTACTCCTGATTCCATTCTCTACCTCTACAAATCTGTTATTTGCCTTTGTATAGAATACGGTTGTCATATTTGGGCTCGTTCTTCTAACGATACTCTTTCTCTTCTAAACATGGTCCAAAAACGCATTGTAAACATAGTTAGTCCCACTCTATCTATACTAAGATTGAGCCTTTAAGTTAGCCCCACTCTATCTACTAAGATCTCCCATCATCATAAAGTTGCATCTCTTTCTTTATTTTTTCAAGTACTATCATGGTTGCTGCATAAAGAAGCTATCATCTCTAGTTCCATTAAATAAAACTCATTTTCGCTTTGTCATTCATAAAAGTTTAGTCTATCTGTCCCTGCATGCTCTAAAAACTTTTATTCATCTAGTTTTTTCCCAACACTTCAGCTCTTTGGAACTCTCTCCCATCATCATGTTTTCCTGACTCATACAACCTATAACTTTTCAAGTCTTCTGTCAACAGTTTCCTTGCTCTATAACTCTATTCTTTTTTTTTCTCGCAATTCCCAACTTAAGAGTAGTTACTTGCAGCCTTGTTGGAAGTGAATCAAAATGAAAAAATAATAATAAATACAAATACATTTATATTAGAAAATATGTTTGAATAATTTTAAAGTAATTAAATAAAAATATATATTAAAGTTATAATTGATATTTTTTACTGTTAACAAAAGGAAATTTTTAAACATTCATTTTATTTTAAAAAAAAATTGATTTAAAAGAAAGCTTCAAAAAATATAATAATAAAATTAATAAAACATAAAAATAGTACTTAATAAATATATACTAATAAAAATAACAACAATAAAAATAATACTAATAATAATAACAATAAAAGCAAAACCTTTTTTTTATCTTTCTTTTTCTTTTTGCGTTTGATAAATACTTCGGGTGATGAATCGGAAGGAAGTTCTTTAGCTATTTGAGACTTAACACGAACTATTATTCCAAGCAACATATGGGGACGAGGATTTGGCAAACCTTTGTGAATAACATAATAAACTATAGTATAATAAACTCTAAATATCAGCATCTATTTAAGCCTTCCTAGGAAAGGCGTGCGGTTTTTCATCTCGTATGACCACACGCGATTATAATATTTTAGAAAACGTGAACACTGTCGTTTGCAAGTTTTATAATAATGCTTAAAAAGTTTCAAAAACAAAACTAACAAAACTAACAAAATAAAAAGAGATTGAAATATAAAATAATGAATATGAAATATAAAAATAAGAGATTGAAATAAAAATAATGAACATGAAATATAAAAATAATGAATATGAAATATAAAACAAATATAAAATATAAAATATGAAAAATAAAAACAAATTAAAAATTTAAATAATTTGTGTACTGTTTTTGTTTTTGTTTTTTCAGTTACATTCAGCAACAAGATTAGATAAGGCGAAGCAAAAAAACAGTTTGAAGTCTACAATAATAAAAATGATTTTCCTTTTTTTAAGAGGATAGCAAAATTACAAATTGCAATGTGTTTGTCAAATTTATTTGTATCATTTTAATGTAACAACAAGGGTTGAATTAAGCGAATGCAAAACGCAAAATCTGGAAAAATATCCAGTATTTAAAATTTTAGTTTATACAAAACCAAGTTCCTAGTTTTTAAGAGGAGAATCAACTAATTTTAAAATTAACTAATAAAAAATTTTTATTGGTTGATTTTAAAATAAACGCACGTTTTTATGTAACGTTTTTCAACATGCTATACTTTTTATAAAGTAACGTTGTTTAAGTGATATGTGAAAGTTCCTGAAATTTTTAATAATATTTGAATATCCGCTTTATTTTTTCTAGATGCTTTTCTACTTTAATAAATTTAAATTTAAAACAATTTTTCAGTAACACATATAATATAACTTGCCCAAACGGCCATGATCATGTTCTCTTACTTGAAAAACGTTTTCGTGGTCATACGAGACAAAAAGCGCACGCTTTTCCTGGGAAGGCTTGTCTATTAAAATGTAAAATTTCATTAAAAAATATATTGAAATCTTCCAAAGAGTTTTTTTGTGTTTCTGTTTTTTTTTGTCCTTGACAAGTTCATATCATATATATGTTAGTAAAAAAAATAAATCTTAAGCCGATTAGTCAGAAGTCTAGTCAGAAGTCTAGTCAGAAGTCTAGTCAGAAGTCTAGTCAGAAGTCTAGTCAGAAGTCTAGTCAGAAGTCTAGTCAGAAGTCTAGTCAGAAGTCTAGTCAGAAAGGAGCATAAATGCAGGTATTAAATTGGACAAATAAATATAATTTTACTACCTTAAATGGTAGCTTATGTTAAAAAATATGTAACAAATACATGAAAATCATATTGAAAAATAATTTTTTTCAGACAAACACATTTATAAATATTTCCAGCTCAAAATGAATGTTTAAATATGACTATATCTACTGAAGTTCTTTGTATAAATTTTATCTTATAAAAAAATGTTCCCATATGTAACATTACACCACTAAAATTCTTTAAAAATTTCCATTCAAAACTCAACATCATTAGTATGATGGTAGGTTCTCAACATCATTAGTATATTTGCCATTACAGTTCTCAACATCATTAGTATGTTAGCCATTAGGCTAAAACTAAAAATCAACACACACACACACACAAAAGGGTTTAAAAGCTGTGTTCCTATACCAAATAGGGATTGTCCATAAAGTACATATGCTCGGAGGGGAAGAGGGGGTCTGCAAATGGCGTATATGAGATAGGAGGGCAATGGGTCAAATATAAAAGAAAGGAGACACTAAATTAAAAAAATATCATAAAACGTTAGATAAATAGGTTAAAAGCGTAGGTACTTTTAGGGTTGTAAAGGGTACTAAAAAAGTGTATTGCAAAATGCGGGGGGGGGGGGGGGAGTATAAGTACTTTATGGATGACCCCATACCAAATATGTAACCATATTAAGCATACTATAACCAGTTAATAACCATATTAACATAATAAAACTGGACTTGGTTATGGTTAACTCAGGTTAGAACATTTTTAATAAATTTTACTTTGAATTTTCATACTGAAACAGAATCTAAAAACAGAAAATCTTTTTACTCCTCACAACACTTAAAATTACAAAAAAAGTTTTATATATGTTTTAACGTTTTAATTTTGAACATTTAAATAGTAAAATATTTTTTAAATGTAATAAACTAGTTATAAAAATATTTAAAAATCAACCTGGCAGAGGTTGAAGTTCTGCCGGAATTGCTTCTTGAGATGCAAGTGGTAATATATACATATCTTTAATACCCTGACTACAGTTTCCAACAACACCAATTCTGTGGCGTTGATAAAAATATGTATAAAGCTTTATGTAACCTGTTTTCTCTTCTTTTGAAGACATTTCAAAACGAATGACATCTATGTACTATAAACATGAAAAACTTCAATACAAAATTTGTTTAAACTTCAAGTATTTTTAAAAATAAAACCATTACTAGAAAAATAATTAAAACCTTGTTTTTGCGACCAGATTTTAATTGACCTAAATATTCCCAAACTTGATCTGGTGGGATTCTTCCACACACGTGTACAGTGTCAGGAAGTATTTGCATGAGATTTTCACAACTTCCTGATACTTGATAAGCAGTAGTAATAAACTTAGCAACTTTCTGCATCATGACAAAACCTCTCCATACAGATGCCTGTTTTGATTGAAGCACTATAGGTGTCATTGCCACGGGAGATGCTGGTGTGACAGGTGTAGTTATAGGGGTATCAATTGAAACAGGAGAAGATCTACAGACACATTAAAAACCATTTTACAATGCTAATTTAAGAAACACGTAACTGAAAAACTAAAAAAGTTATTCTTTTTTTTTATTTATAAAAATCAACTTGAAAGTATTAACCCGATAAGTGTCATATCAATATCATCTTCAGGAGAAGGCATTGATGATTCAGGTTCAGCTTGCACACTGAAAAATTGTTATTGAGTTAAAAAATTCACAGAAAAATTAAAAAGTATCTTATGTTCCAAGACAAGTTGTGTTCATATTTTAAATAATGTTTAGAAAATATGCTTAGAGTAAATTAAACTTACCCAAAACAAATTATTAACCAAGATATTATTGAAAAAAAAAATTATTTTAAATGCTTTCTTATCTTTCCAGACTTTATCACTCAAAACCAATTTTCTAAACAACATTTTTTCAAAAACGTTTTTTAAACTACAAGATCTGTAGCAAATCTAGCTGGTAATCCTTGCCACCAAATGATGCCTTTATCATTATAAATTTAATTAGTTTGTCGTTGATTCCCCACACAATAACTTAACAACAGGATTAGAATACTATTTATTTACTTCCATTTTGAAAATGGCCAATAAAGTTTTTTTTTTTTTTTTTTTTTTGAATGGCTACTCAAATACAATATTAGTTGAAAAGAAGTAAATACAGCTGCAGGTTCTTGAAAAAAAGTTGCTCTAATAAAATTGAAAAACCAAAAATAATGTTTTCAGGAGTAAACAAAAAAATATACAAATAAATTTGAGTTGCTGATGATCGGTGAAAACAAAATACTGTGCATGTTTAATAAAATTATTTTTTTAAAAAAAAGCCAGATCAAAGTTGAGTTACATTTTTTAATTTTGTCAAAAATGACATCTGATAAATGAATGGCTTTATAAACTGAAATGCAGCAAAAATATTTTTTATAATCAAATTTTTTTATTAACTCCAAATTTATTTTCTAAGCTTTATTTAAGATTATTTAAGATATGAATATAACTTGTCTTGGCACTTAGGTATCACTTTAATATTGAATAAAAACTAGGAACAAGTCTTATCATAAAAACTAGGAACAACAGTCATATCATAAAACTTACACTGTTGTAGATACACCTAATGATTGAGGTTCTCCAGGTGGTGCTATTTTTCCAGTGCATATTTTACAGTTTGCATCAAAGAGATGATGATTATGCTCAACTGTTGTATCATTTAAAAGTTTCATCACATCTGTTGCATTACTGGTAGAGTTATCAAACACCTTTGTCTAAAAATTAAATTTTTTAAATTCAAAATAAGTATAAATATTAAAATAAGTGAATTGTTCATATTTTTAACTGCAGTAAACAAAGCATCTACTGTAGTTATTATTAATATTATTAAATACTAAAACGAAAAAAAAATTTGTGAAGTATTGAAATTCAGCAATCCCTACTAATGTATACATAATGTAGTCCTACTATGGTATGTCTAATGTAGTACTAATGTCTAATGTAGTCCTACTATGGTAGATTCAAGATTAAGCAAACTACTGTAATAAAATATTTTTTATCCTAAAACGGTTCTAAAAGATTATTAAGAAATATTATTTCAAAACAAAAACAATATCAGATAAACTTTAATGAAAATCATAAAGTTGACTTTTTAAAAATCACAAGTAGAACCCTTTATAAGCAACCTTGTTTCCAACATGTTCCAAGGATTCTAACTAAATAACTTAAAATGTTTTGCAGTATAATGCTATCAGTAAGAAAAAATTATTTTTAACTAAAAAAAGTCAATTAAAAAAAATTTCTCAGATTTCAAGGTTTTTTTATTACACACAATTTGGTAAATTTAATTGAAGTTTTAAACTATTTTAGAAATATTCATTTTAGATAAATATTATACTTTTGAGTCAAAATTTCAGTCAAAACAATACGGTAAGAAGCAGATATTAACTTTGGTACAAATAACAAGTTTTCGCGGTAACCATAATTTTTAGCCATATTATACTATTTTCAGTTTCTATAGCAACATGATTTCTATAGATTCTATAAAGCTATCTCTAGCAACAATACTTAGACCAAATAAAATTTTTACTTTTACATAAAACAAAACAAAAATATAAGAAACAATTATTAATAGTTGTATATATATACAGTTCATTTCAATAGATTCTAAGTTAATTTATCTGCATATTGCTAATATTTTGACATAAATTTTAGTTAATCACTTTTTAAAATGTTGTAGCTCAAATAGCTTTTCAATGTATATTTGTTATGAACATTTTAAACTTAAACTTTTTTGTAAGATTATTTTTAACTATTACTGTAATGTTCATCTCAATAATAAGTTTTTTATTCCTACGTGACAGCAACAACTAACAAGCTACATCGACCAAAAGGTTAAGGTTAGGGCAGGCAATCTTAATGTCAACCATGGCCTACTTAAATTACACAACCTGATTTTACAGTTTATATATAAATTCCTGAGTTATTGTTATAGTTATGTTAGCACTATAAATATTTTATTCTTATTTCACTAAATTGGTTAAATAATAGTTAGATTCTTTAATTATTTTATGTGTTGCTGGATTTTTTGCTGATTGCCTGCTTTAGTTTATTCCAATAAGACAGAATACTGAAATAGGCTTTCAGATAGCTATTAGCTATATCATCACATACCAAAATCCTATTAAAAATAACCTTACATGTTGCTAAAGCTACCCACAAATTTCCATTAGAAATAATTTAAAAGGTTTGTAATTTTGTATTTGTTATAATTGCTATTATTAGGTATAAAACATGAATTTTTCTTTAGAATATTTACATAGCAAAACAAGGTTCAGCAATGTAAATACTCTATTATGCTGCATGTTTCAAACAACAACAAATCAGACCATTTATTTACAGTAGGCCAAGCATACTAGCTGTTTTGGAGTTAATAGCTATTAATAAAACTCTTAATTTTTTCATTGTCTTATGAATGCTATATTTCTTTACCTAAATAGTTTCACTGTGGTGAAAATAACATTTTAAAATACTTGAAAATAACATTTTAAAAAACTTGAAAAATCAAAACTTGAATCTTTATAAAGAAGTTGTTTTTGTTTTTATGATTGTAGGGCTTCAAAAATTTATTCTTATGTTTTGAAATCCTCACCTAAAGTTTACATAACAGGTTTATGTAAAAACAAATTGATAGATGTATTACTTCAATGCATTAAACTGAATTTAAAATTAAAGCTGTTGTTACCGATAACTATTCTACCAATGTTAATGCATTTTCATATTTTTAAAAAGCATATAATGGAGATAGAAAACTATTTATTTATCATCCAGTTTAGAAAAGGAGTGTTGAGAACATACTTATGATTTGATATACTCCGTTTTATAAAAATTGTAAGGAACAACTTGTTAAACGCAAAAAAATGATAAAGTTACTGCTTTTTACATTGCAGGGAATATATTTCTTCAAGTTTAATAAAAGATCAATTATTAAACAGGCAAGTAAAAGCAAGAAAAATTAATTATTAAGTCAAATACTTTCCTGAAAGAAATGATGCAGCTCAATTTTTATCATTGTTTTATAAGTTATTTATCATACCCAATTCAAAGCAGAAACTCGATTTATCCAATCAAACTCAGCAATGCTGCTTTGAAAAGTGATAACAAACCGACTTTTTAAAGAGAAATGGAAAATTGTAATGAAATTTGATCAAAATGAAACTTGATAAATACTTTACATTAACCAAACAAACTTCTTGTGCTCTAATCACAAAACTACAAGCAATTGTATCTCTTATAAATGATTTGCTTGAAGAAGGCTTTACACTTCTACATCCTTTGGAGCTAGGTTTTAGTAATTTTAGTTAAATGACCAGTACCATTCTTTTTCAATTAAAAATTTGCAGAACAAGCTATAAAGATTTGTTATAGCAGTGTCGATTTTAATAATGAAAAATACTGAAAGTCAAAATCAAATAAAGATCTTGTATTGTTAATAACATTTTTTATAATAATTTGCAAAAAGAAATTACATATTCATTAAGGAAAGATCAAGTGAAAGAATTCCGAAAAAAAAACAGAGACCAAAGAAATATTCCTAGTAAAAAGATATTTCTTCTTTTAATTTCAATTATAATAAATACAAAATTAAAAACCTTTGATTTTATTTTCAATGGAGAGTTTAAGACAATCTTAGTAACATGTAAGCTTTCAGTAGCATGTTGATAGTTAAAAACCTATTTCAGTTTTCTATGTTATTGGAATAAACTGAAGCAGGCAAACAGTTAACAAAAAATCTGTCACAAAATAATGTAAGTACTCAAAAAAAAAAACTAGTATTAAACTATTTTAATAAAATAAGAATAAAACATTTATAGTACAAACTCGACTCTTAACCATAACAAAAATTAAATTTTTATACAGGGCCATCAAAAAAACTGGCCTCTTAATTTTTTACGGAAAATGCAACAAATCAGGCCATGTAATTTAAGTAGGCCATTTGTCAACCTTAAACCATTCATTCCACTGAAAATATTATTTAAATACCATTCCACATGATAGTTTTAAATTTTTTAATTTAAATCTTTTGGCTACCAGGCTTGGCTACCAAAAATCTGTCTATGAACATAAAATTAATCTCAAATGGCGTTTACCTCAAAGTTTCCTAATTCTTCTTTTTCTCTTACTATTTCAATCTCTCCCTAAAAAAATTTGTAAATATATAAAAAAAAAAAACTTATCTAAAATATTTAAACAAAAAGATAAAATAGAAATTATTAACATCAGATAACTAATAATAATAAAAAACCTTATGTGTTTGTTTTACACGAGGAATTTTGAGCATTTCTGCCTCTTCTAGTTCTCTCTTCTTTACCATCTCAAGATGCTGGAAATTAAAATAATAAAGTTTTAAAAAATTTAATTTATTTCTTAATTGTCTTAACTAAACCTCACTTGATGTTTGTTTATATATATATATATATATATATATATATATATATATATATATATATATATATATATATATATATATTATATATATATATATATATATATATATATATATATATATCTTAATTGTCTTAACTAAACCTCATTTGATGTTTGTACAAATAAAAGCAAAATAAAAAGTTGAAAACTTCAAATTTAATAACTCTTAATAAATCAACTACAACTTAAATAATTTTGATAAACAACACTCTGCGACAACTTAATTTATGAAATTTAAGATAATGTGTCGTGCTTTTAACCCATTTCTTGATTTAAAAAAAAATCAATTAAAATATAATTGAAAATTGAGTAATTTTAAAACAATTAACTTTTCATTATTTAATAATATTAATAGTTAATAGTAGATTTTTTCATACTTTAAATTTTAAAATCTGCACTTTTACTTAGACAAGTTAAGGTAAAGAAAAAAAAAAGAAAAAAATTGTTAAAAAAAAAAACTACATAAGTATTTTGTACAAATATTAGAAAAAAAAAACTAACATGCTTTGATTCTTGTTCTCTCCATTGAGCTAATGCTGGAGTGGCAAGCTGTTCAGGAGTCATTCGAACAAGCTCATATGGTGTGATTTCACCAGACACAACACGTTTGTATAAAATCTAAAGAAAACAAAAGTATTTTTTAAATTTAACTTTGATAAATGTTATTAACTATAAAGCATTTAACAAATACCTATTTTGTATTTTATATTTTAATTATTTATATATTTTAAAATAATTATTTCATATTTTAATCATAAACGATTCAAATTTAAAACTATTTAGTTCTAAGTCCCGAAAAAAAAAAAACAGTAAAAAAAATAAAAAAAAAAAGGAATAGGAAAAGAAGTCTGAGTGTAACAAAAAAAAAAAAGATTATCTTTATGTTTCATAGTTTAGGGTTTTATGGTTCTTTCTAAAAATATGTGTGTGTCTATATATATATATATATATATATATATATATATATATATATATATATATATATATATATATATATATATATATATATATATATATATAGACACACACATATAAATGCAGCATTAGATGCACACAGATGACGTCATAAAAAAACAGAAAATTGAGGGGCATTACTACATACATCCCCAATCTTAAAGCAAAGGAGTGCTGCTACATAGATGGCATGGAGCAGCAATCTTTTTATTCATTATTCTTCATTTTTTTCTTATTTTTATGAACAATTAAAGCGCTCTTATTTACATTACATAAAAACCATTACACATAAAACCATTGCAACCAACATAAAACATTAATTGCAACACATAAAACATTAATTGCATCACATAAAACATTAAATAACCTTCTGTAACTCAAAAAGTAAAAAAAAATTACCTTGTTTTGATTATCTCTGAGATTGAATATTAGACTACGAGACTTAGCCTTGTATTTATTATTTGTTTCTACAAATAACTTTAAAAGTTCAGATTCAATCTTCTTACATAATTTACCAATCGACTCAACTTGAATAACAAGAAGCTCATCTTGTTTACAGCGGCTAACTAAAACTTGTCTTAGTACACGACGCACACTGCTGCGAACTAATTCGTCTTGATCTTTTTTAACGTTTTTTAAACTGTCAGGTTGCTTTCCTAAAAAATAAAAAACTGTCAGGTTGCTTTCCTAAAAAATAAAAAACTGTCAGGTTGCTTTCCTAAAAATTAAAAAACTGTCAGGTTGCTTTCTTAAAAAATAAAAAACTGTTAGGTTGCTTTCCTAAAAAATAAAAAACTGTCAGGTTGCTTTCCTAAAAAATAAAAAACTGTCAGGTTGCTTTCTTAAAAAATAAAAAACTGTTAGGTTGCTTTCCTAAAAAATAAAAAACTGTCAGGCTGCCTTCCTAAAAAATAAAAAACTGTCAGGTTACTTTCCTAAAAAATATTTATGATAATAAGATTTTTTAAATTATTAAAAAAAATATTTTTATAAAAAGTTGCAAAATTTGTTGCAAACTAAAAAATTTAAAACAATAATCACAAGCTTGTTATAGCTTTTTTATAATATTAATAATATACTTGAAAATTATTAATTAATAAAATTTATATATTAGGGATGGCAAAAATCCAAGACATATTCTATTCCAGGATTTCTGGATTTCACAAATCACAATCATGTTATCGCATTTTGTGCCTCCATTTTAAATAATTACATTTTTTTTTTTGAGTTCTGGAAGTTATAATATATAAATATTAAAAAACTTTACTTCTAATAGTTTTTCAACACCTGTACAATTACAATTACATCTGCAGTTTATGAAAAAGTCTACTCATCAAGGGAAAAATCTGCTTGTAGTCTAAAACCATTTTAAAAAATTTAAATCATTCTTTAATACTAGGGATGGCAAAAGTCCCGGAAATTTTCAATCCCGGGATTTTGGGATTGAGAAATTTGTCCCCATGAAATCCCGGGATTGAATAGAAAAAAACGCAATTGAATACTTTTTAAGTACTGATCAAACACTTAAAAATAATTTAATAATAGTATAGTTATAATATTTAATACATTAATAAAAGTTAAAAACATGTTTTAACTTAATTTTTTTATATTAAAACTTATTTAAGTCTTTTAAAAATTAGTTAACCAAAGTAGTATAAATTATAAAACAATACTTTAAAATGGTAACACAGTATAAATAAAAATAATAATTAAAAAATAATATAAATATGCAAGACTTCATTAATTAAACCTTCTATTCTTTGATAACTTTATTAATCAAATAGATGTAAAAAACTTTTGTCAATCACACACATTTGAAATTAAAATTAATGGAAATAAAATGGAATTTGAATCACGCACACATCTGGAATTAAAATGAATGGATATAATAATGAAATTAAAATCCCGCACACTTTTGGAACAGAAAATTCAAAATTAAATTAAGGTATATTTCTATAAAAACTCTTGTTCTTTCCATTAGCTTTTAAATTTTATTTGTTTTTTGTAATATACATATATATATATATATATATATATATATATATATATATATATATATATATATATTATATATATATATATATATATATATATATATATATATATATATATATATATGTATATATATATATATATATATATATATATATATATATATATATATATATATATATATAGTATAATGTTTTAGTTTGAGATTGAACTTAAACTTTTTGGGCTGGTAATTCTCAAAAACATGATAAAAGATAAAAAAAGATCACTAGAGAATAAGTTTTAAGATTTAAAATTTCTGGAAGGTGTAAAAAAGTTTGTTACTGGTTCAGAGGATATTAATTATAAAAAAAAGGTCAATGCTTTTAGTTAAATAGTCTATATCTGGTTTAACCTCCGTTAATTTATTATTTTTTTTACAGTTTCTAAAATTAAAAATTAAAACTATAATTTTTCTGTTAATTAGGCAAAAGAAAGTATCAGGAAGAAAAATTGTTCACAGCCTAAGAGTTTGATAGATGATATACCCAACAGTAAACTTATGGACACAATTCTAAGCTCGGACTCTTCAATCAAATCTGATTTTGATCCAAGTGATTGGTATCAAATAGAACTCTCTAAAAACTCAGATACAGTAACTTAAAAAATTCCACAAGATATTTATGCTGGTAATGTTTCACTTACTGCTACAGCCTGTGATATATCGCCAAATGTTTTACAGAAGGTAACAAATGCAATTCTATACCAATCAGGTGTTGATCTTAAATAAGTTAAAAGCAGCCAGTCTACTGCTTATAGAAAAATAAAAAAATGTTTATGTCCAAAGAGGATATTAAGGTAGCCATTGATGCATCTTCCATGTATAATTCATTTTGATGGCAAGACCTTATTTGAGCTAAACAAAGGAAAAGTATTAAAGAGGGACAGAACGGCAGTTTTAGTTAACATTAATGGAGAGACTTACCAACTTGGAGTATCCCCGCTAGCATCAACTGGTGAAGATCAGTTCTAAGGTGTAACAAATTTAATTGACGAGTATCAACTTATATCAAAAACTAGAGGAATATGCTTTGATACAACGTCATCCAATACAGGGACAAATAAAGGATCAGAATATCTTAAGAACTAGATAAGTATCTTCACCAAATAGCCTGTAGACATCACATGATTGAATTAAAAATGCTTTATTTTTAGAAATTAGTAAGCAATGACAAAACTAATGGACCTGATAATCCTTTTTTCAAAAAGTTAAAAGATATTTTTGAAGAATCTAATTTTAATTATAATCCAGTTCAACTGTTGCGATTTGATTGGAATAAGGTTAAAAGCTCTCTTTTTTTTTTTTTTTTAAAAAGGCAGCTAATAAGTCATTGACATTTTGCAGATAAAAAAAAGCAGCTAATAAGTCATTGACATTTTGCAGAGCTTATGTTGGTAAACCAGGTATTATAAGAGATGATAGAAGTGAATTAGTTGTCACTTGATTATTCCCTTTTATATATAAAGTAAGAAAATTCATCATGAAAGATTTTTAGGAAAAGCAATTTATTATCTAAAGCTTCAACTTCTATCCAATCAACTTGCGTTTGTTCAAGAAAATGATAAGCTGAAAACTGAAGTTAAGCTTATATGAGAATTTATTATTTGATTTTATGCAAAATGGTTTCTACAATCTGAGGATGTTGTTAAAGCTCTGTTTCTTGGTCTCACGGCCATACATCAAATGCATTTGTACAAGAATGTAGGTACAAACCCAATAGCTATTGATGCTGTATTAGTATTTCAGTATAAGCATTGTTGGTATTTGGATTCAACCATAATACCTCTAGCTTTGCTAGATGATGAGTTAGCATTAGAGAAGGCAAAAATTACATCAGTAATTATGTCATTTGATATGTCTAGCTCAGACTACTATAAGCCTGAGAACAAATTAAAAGTTGATATCAAGGAAATTTATAAAATAGATACAAATATTGGTAAAAAACCATTATCTTTGTCTTAAATACTGAATCCGTAAAAAAAAGGCTTTAAGCTCCTTGAAAAATCACTGGACGCAAGAGCCATCCATACAACAGATACCCAGAAGTAATCAATGCACAGAGCG